TGCTAGATCCAAGATGATCAAAGAGATTTCCCAAAGGATGGTGAAATCACAAGGAAGGTCAATTTAGATGTTTCTAGTTATGATGACAGGTTAGACCCTAGTGCTTTCTTAGATTGGTTAGCAGATATGGAAGGTTATTTTGATTGGTATAACATGTCTGATACCCTACGTGTTCGCTTTACTAAGATAAAGCTAATAGGGTTTGGCAAGCGATATTGGCAAGGGGTCCAATAGACATTGAGCGTTTAGGTGATGCACCTATCACTTTGTGGGATGAAATGAAAGCTTAGTTGAAGGAAAAATATCTTCCCACATATTATAAAAGGTAGCTATTGGAGCAATGGATGAATTTGAGACAATGATCATTAAGTGTGACCGATTATCTTAACTGATTTGAGAATTTATCTATGAGATGTAATACAAGGGAAGAACAATGGGTAACTCTCACCAAGTTCATTAATGGCTTAAGACCATAACTGAAAAGGGAATTGAACTTGCATTCTCCTGACACCATAGAAGAGGCTTACCATAAGGCCTTAGAGCTTGAAAAGTTCCAAAGGTTGTCTACCTTTCGCTGTATGTCTTCTTAAGCTAGAGAGACCCAAGCACCCAAAAACGTGTCCAAATCAGTGTCCTTTCAGAGGACCAATAGGCCTACACAACCAGATAGGGGCGAACAAAAAACAACCGAACTAATCAAAAAAATTGACCACAACCGAACTGAAAAATTGGTTAACCCCGATCAGCTCGATGTTTAAAAAAAACTGAAGGTATCAATTCAGTTTCGGTTAATCAATATAGAAAACCGGCGGTTAACTGAACCGATCGGTATACATATATTTCTATATATTATATATTTTTATATATTATAAATTAATAAATATGCAATACATATAAATATATATTTATAATATATGATATATTATTTATTATTTAAAATATAATATTATATATATTTATACTTTTTTATTATATATTTATATAATATATATTGTAAAAATAAAAAATTGAAAAACCAATGAACCAAACCGGTCAATCGGTTAACTGATTGGCATCGGTTCGATTTCAGTTACCGATTTTCCAAAAACCAGTAGTACCGGTCCGGTTACAAAAAAAGGCCAACGTTTCGGTTAACCGAACCGTGAGCACCCCTACAACCAAAACCAACGATGTCTAGTAGTAATAACAATTCTATTCAGAGAACTAACACCAACATTATTGCTAATTCACAACAAAAAGGGTTTAACATTCAATGTTTTAGTTGTCATGGTAAAGGATATGTTGCTTCGCGTTGTCTAAATCAAACTTTAACCATGGGCACAAATGTAGAAGAGTCTTTTGAGGGTGAAGATGTTGATCAAGTTGTTGGGTTTTTAAAGGAACCCTCTGACACCGAATTTGAAGATGACCAAGGTTGTATTGATGATCATCCCCTTAGTGTTATGAGGTGTATTTTGTCTACTCCTATATGACTGGAGGTGCACTAGCATTTTTTAAAACTATTTCAAATGTGGGGATGTTGCATGCAATGTTGTCATTAATGGAGGTAGTTCCATGAATGTCGTATCCAAATTTGTATATCAATAATGAAGCTCAAACAACCATATAGAGTAGTTTGGGTAGATAAGACTTCTTTACCCATACCTAAGAGGTGTTTGGTTCCCATCCAAATGGGTGATTATTTCAATAAGATTTGGTGTGATGTTCTACCTATGGATGTTGCTTGTGTCTTTCTAAGGCGTTCATGGTTATATGATATGAATGTTACCCATTATGGTCGATCAAATACATACATCATCAAGCACAATGGCAAATCTATTCTCGTGATACCAACCAAACCATCTATGAAGGATAAATCCAAAAAGGTCTACTTGACCCTTCCAAAAAGAAACCCTTGCACATTCTAACTCAAAAAGAATTTGAAAGGGAAGGTAAAAAGTCAGGTGTAGTTTTATTTGTTGTGGCCAAAGAAGATGCTAGGGTTGTTTTTGTAGAATCAACTATAAAATCACTTGAGATAGCAACCCTATTGAAAGAATTCCAAGATGTGGCCCCAAAAGAATTGCCAAGTGAATTACCACCCTTGAGGGACATTCAACATGCCATTAACTTGGTCCCAATATCTCAATTGCCTAACCTCCCACATTATAGGATGAACCCTAAGAAGCAAGCTGAATTGCAAAAGAGGATGAACTTTTAGAAAGAGGTTTTATTCGTGAGAATTTAAGTCCTTGTGTTGTGTTAGCCCTATTAACTCGTAAGAAAGATAGATTTTGGAGAATGTGTATCGATAGTCATGCAATCAATAAGATCATAGTTAAATATAGATTTTCGATACCTCGACTTGATGGAATGTTGGATCACATGGCTGGTGCACAATGGTTTTCAAATATTGATTTTCGAAGTGGATATCACCAGATTTGGATTAGAATTGGTGATGAATGGAAGACTAATTTTAAAACAAAGAATGGGTTCTATGAGTGGCTAGTAATGCCCTTTGGCTTGATTAATGCACGTAGTACTTTTATAAGATTTGTGACTCAAATTTTACGGCCCTTCATTGGAAAATTCTTGGTGGTCTATTTTGATGACATATTAGTATACAATTATTTTAAAGAAGAACATCTGAATCACCTTAGGCAAGTTCTTGAGACACTTCGAGTTGAAAAATTATATATGAATTTGAAGAAATGTCATTTTATGCAGTCATAGGTCATTTTTGTAGGATTTGTTGTTTGCCAAACATGTAACTGTAGATCCTTCTAAAGTGAAAGCCATTGGAAATTGGCCAAAACCAACATCCATTACTAAAGTTCGTAGTTTCCATGGATTAGCTACTTTTTATAGGCAATTTATTAGATGATTCAACTCCATTATAGTACCTATTACCGATATATTGAGAAAAGGAAATTTTAGTGGACCCCATCTGCTTTTAGGGCATTCGGAGAGATAAAAAAGAAAATGACTAAGGCACCTATTCTCCATCTTCCTAATTTTAATAAAGTTTTTGAGATAGCATGTGTTGCATTAGGAGTTGGAATTAGGAACGTTCTAAGCCAGGAGGGCCATCCAATTGCATATTTTAGTGAGAAGTTTATTTGGGCTAAACAGAAATATTCCACTTATGATAATGAGTTTTGTGCAGTCAAACAAAATGATGTAGACATTAATAAGAACAGGAATCCGTAAGTAATAGATAGAAAAAGTAAGTGATTTAATAAAGAAAAGAGAGGAAATAAGTGAACTCTACCAAGTTTTTAATTTAAAAATTAAAATGATTGCACAATGCACATCGAAATTAGTGTTAAAACACATTCAATAAACAACCCGAAAGGATTATACTCAATGCCATTAAAGAATCACATAGTAGAATTGGAGAACAAAATTGTGAATTTTACATTCAAAAAGCTTCTCATACCCAAAAAAGTGTTTTTTTTTTTCTCCAGAAAGCTAATTTTAGTAAACAAGCATTACAAAATAGGAGTGTGGAGGCAAAGGAAAAATGGAAGTTTACCAAAAAACAACATGAATTAAAACAAACTTGGAATTCTTCATCTCTAGCAAGAGATCAAAATTCCGATTTAAGCAATGTGAAGGCATACATAAGAGTTTTGGGAATGTATTTGCCCTCGAATTTACCATACCTAACAAAGGAGCCTGGTCTCTGAAAAACCGTTTTGTTGTTCTCCACCATGGTGAAAGCTAAATCTCGAGTGAGAGAGTACATGAAATGGAAAAAGAACCCGTGTAGGTTTGCTTTAAGGCTCTAATTTGTAAGGTATCCCGAAGAAGTTAAATAAAGCAACTTTATATGGTTTATAAAGCATGTGTTTTGTTCCGTGGGTGTTTTGTAATAGGTGTTTATTAAAATGTTGCAATGTGATTGCTAAATCACCATTTTTTTTTCATAATATTCATTTGTACGCATTTATATTTACAAAAGTGGATTTTGATTTATATGTGCACCAACCATTAGGAGAAGTTTCATTTTAACGCTTCCCCCAATGATTGAGTGTTTATTCACTGTTTTGCTGATGTAGTGCGTGCTAGTTGTTAATAAATGGTTTATCAAGTATTTTTCTCAGTTTTAAAGATAATACAAATGTTTATTTAATAAACAAAAGTTATGCCAAACACATACAAAGAGATGAAATAAATAACGTGCTCCTCAAACACTTGGGATGACCATGAAAAGAGTAACGTTGCATGAAAAAGCTCAAGCTAGATTTCAGTAAAAAGAATAATGTTGCAACAAAGCTTGAGCGAAAAATCGAGATCAGATTAGCGCCCCACATGCACATCTCAGCATGCACTGAACATCTCCCGTATTTATGATGGGAGATGATCTCAATACAAGCTGGGATGGGTTGTGGGTGTTGATTCGAATTCCTAAAAATCGTAGGCATAGGCGCATAGTTGGCTTCTTCGCCAAAACGTCCTCTTTTACTGTTTACAAGTACCACCCGTATCCACCAACGTGGCCAAAGAGATTACCATGTGGCAATAATTCTTAAAGAAATTATTAGGGCTGTCTAACGGGTTGGACCAGTTGAACCATTCTCGAATCAATTATATTGAAAATCATATTTATTTATATATTTAAATAATAACTTAAAATTTAGATTTTGATAATATAATAAAATAAATATTTTTAATTAAATTATGAAATTTGAACCATTATAATTGGTGTGGTCGGTTTTGGTGCATTGGGTAGACTAGACCTGTTGACAACCCTCATGCCATTTTTTGCCACATGGTCAATTTTATCCACTTCGATTTCTGTATATGCTTATCATTTGGAGAAATTATTTTTTAAAACTTTCCTCCATTTTTTCGGTGTTACAGTGATGTGGGGGCTAATATTATCTTTTTCGATTTTAATGAAAAAACACCCACGGTTCAAAACCATACTCATTGAACCGTGAAGGGGCGCAGCCACACAGCGGCCCACAGGCCCAGGCCCAGGCCCCAGGGTAGAAAAAAGAAGAAATAAGGTGGGAAAAACTGAAGAAGAGAAAAATCGACACGACCTTCAGAGATAGAGGCCGATAGCTTGAGTTTTACTGCCATTGTTGTTCTACTACTACTGTCTCTGTTCTTCGGATGAGTCCGGCAGTGCATCGTAGATCCCCATCTAGGCGTGGCTCCTCCGATCGTTCGGAGTCTCCGGTGAGGAGATGGAGTTCCCCTCGCAGAAGAAGCCCATCTCGTAGAGAAAGGTCTCCTGTTCGACAAAGGAGCTCTCCGAGAACCAGGTCTCCCGTTGGTAGAACCAACTCTTCTCACAGGGCGAGGTCACCCGCAAGGGAGAAACCTTCGAGAGATAGGTCCCCAATACACGCGAGGTCAGCCTCCCCCGTTTCTCGATCTCCTTCTCCGCGTACGAAACGCCTGAGGCGAGCGCAGGCCGAGCGCGAGGCCGAAGGAGTCTCTGATAGGGAACGCGAGAGGAATGGGAGCAGCAGGGAAAATGACAAAGGGAGGCACAGGGATAGGGCTGTAGACAGAGAAGTTCCCAGAGATAGAAGTGACAGAAGGTCAACAAGGGATAAAATTGAAGGAGGTTCTTATAAGTCAAGACGTGAGCACTCAACATCGCCGAATGGTCGTGGCCACAGGAACAGACACGGTTCCCGCTCCCCTCGCAGGGCTGCTAAGACTGAAGCACGCCACGAGGTGTCTGGTGATATCCACTCCTTATGTTTTTACTTCTATTTTTGTTATTACATGGAAAAGGCACCCATTAAAACTAGCAATTAGAAATTTTATTGGAAAAAAAAGCAGTGATGCAAACATTAGGAATCCTTCGAGTCTTTAAATCAAATAATGATATTAGTTACTTATTTATAGAGATTTTCCTTATGTACCTTTGGTTACTTCAAGTGCTGGGAGTTGGTTCTTGTTGAGTTCCCTGATTCTCTTACATAGACGTTACATTTACCATTGATGTTAACGAGACAATTTTTCAAACATCATGGATATGCATATCAACATATGACCCCCTCCCCCTCAATGAAAAAAACTCTTCCTTCTTACAATCTCTCTTGCTAGAAAATCATCAAAGTCATTTTTTCATCTGTATCTGAAACTAAGATGATTCATATTCTGTGCAATCTTTTTTGTATGATATTGTTTTTTTTATCAGTGATGTTTTTTCATTTGTTAACAATTAGCAATTGGGGTTTGTGTTGGTGTTTGTGGATACGTTTTTTTAGTTAATGCTAACCAGAAATTTGTTTCTATATCTGAAATGGAAACCCTTCGTTTTTTACAAAAACGCCTTTGTATATGATTTTGTTCCCTTTTGTCATTATTTTCATTCATTTATTTATTTTTTGATCTGTAGAAGAAATTTTATTAATGCATCTTAAAGATTACAAACAGATGTGTGTAAAATCCACCCCAAAAATGCAAGATTTCACAGAATTGCCCAAAATAAATGTTGTCTTAAGGCCCCTTGTTTGGCTAGAGTGTCTGCCATTCTATTTGCTGTTATTCTCACCCATTTGAAAGAAACATTTAGCCCCCTTATTAAGTATTCAATCTCCCCATATTTTTGCTGGAAGACCAGAGGGATTTGGGAATTTGCGCTTGTCCAAGAGATGACCACCTGGGAGTCCCCTTCCACTTCTAGATTGTAGTATCCAAACTGTTTTGCAAATTTTAAGCCCTGCAATAGACAAACCATTTCTGCTGTTAGTGCTTCACTGTGTTCTAGTGGTCCTGAGTACAAAGCCACCACCCTTCCTTTTAAATTCCTGATAACACCCCCTAGCCCAACCAAATCCATATTACCTATGTAGCTTCCATCAAAATTGAGCTTTAGGAAGTTATGAGCCGGGGGATTCCTCTCACCTTGACTTGATCTGAGAGTGCCACCTCTTTCCATGATCTCAAAATATCACTGAGGGAAAAAATTGGAAAGCTTTTGTGGATTTCACCCAATGTGCAGCCTTTAATTTGATTAAATCAGTAATTTCCTCCTTAGTCCTGCCTTTATCATTAAAAATTCTTCCATTCCTTTCTTCCCAAATGATCTAAACACAACATCCCTTACTGCTTTCCAAACTTGTCTTCTTCTTTCCTTTGGTTGTCTTAGGAAGTTAGGATCGTAGAGGCCCACCACATCCTGAGGAGGATTCCACCTGCATCCAAATAGAGAACAAAGATGCTTCCAAATGCAAAGTACAAAAGGACAAGATATAAAGATATGAGAAACAGATTCACCACTGTCCTTGTAGAGGAAACACATATGAGGGGAAAGGCTTTTACTTGTACTTCTCTTCTGCAGCACATCACAGGTGTTAATCTTTCTGAGAAAGCCTCCCAAGAAAGGGCCTCAACTTTAGGGGGAATAGGCTTGTTCGAAATTTCTTTCAATGGGAAATTAATCCCCCTAGAGCTAGGTTGTAATAAGTAACTGAAAAAAGGCATACAAGTGAAAGAACAATTTGGGGAAATAGGCCAAACCCTATTGTCCTCCACAGAGTGGTCTAGAAAAACTGATTCCGGCCTATCCAAAAGAAGAATGAGAGATTCATTCCAAATCCCTAAGACCTCTTCTAAACCTAAAATTCCAATTTAAGCCCGAGTCAGAATGCCACAAACTTTGAAATGGGTTCAGAATTATAGTTGGAGAGTGCAAAAAAGCAAAGGAAACTGGAGTTTTAAAGGAGTATCACTTAACAATAGGTCTTCCCAAAACAATACTTTTAATCCATTCCCCTCATCATATCGAATAAGGTTTAAGAAAGAAGGATATACCTCGTGAATTGCTTTCCAAGGGAACCTCAACAACCACTTCCCTAAAAGAGCAAATTCTTTTGAGTCAGGTTCCCTAAACCTAATCCCCCAATCTCTTTGGGCCTGCTAACCTGTTCCCAGTTCACCAAATCATCTCTCTTCTCTTCCCCCGATTCCCATAAGAAATCCTTCATAATCTTTTCTAGCTGTCTAGCAATTTTAATAGGGATGCGGAAGGTGGAGAGGAAATAAATTGGGAGGTTTGCCATGGTGGCCTTGATCAATGTGATTCTTCCTCCTGTCGAAATATAATTTATTTTCCAGGCTGCCAATTTCTCAGTAAATCTCTCCAGCACTGGTTTCCAAAAAACTGCAGACCTTGGATTTCCACCCAATGGTAGTCCTAAATACTCTATGGGCCACCTTTTTACTTCACAGCCTACCACGTCAGCCAAATCACTGATAGTCTCCTCTTGCACATTAACACCCGCAATGCAACTTTCCCCCAATTGGCCCTCAGGTTAGATATGTTCTTGAAGGAACTAATCAATGCCTTTAAGTTTCCTAGGGAGACAGGGCTGTCATTATCACAAAACAGAATTATGTCATCCGCAAACTGTAGGTGTGTGACTACAACCTCCTTTCCCACTCTCCAACCTCTTAGTGAGTTGCCTAGATCAGCCTTGGTAATCATTTTGCTAAGAACCTCTGCCATCAAAGTGAATAGAACTGGGGAGAAGGGGTCACCCTGTCTCAGTCCTCTCTTGGCAGGGAAAAAAATCTCTAGCAATCCCATTAATCATAGTTAAGTATTGCACTGAACTCAAACAACCTTTGACCCATGATCTCCATCTATCTCCGAACCCAAACTTTTCCAAGACTTCTAGGAGGCAGGACCAATCCACCATATCTGCATACCATAAACCTTTTCAAGGTCCAATTTACAAATAAGACCCTTTTCCCTTTCTTTTTCTTCTCTACTACACACACAATCGCCACAAAAAATTGATCAACAATTTGTCTGCCCTCTACAAAGTCCCTTTGAAAAGGTGAGATTATTGTAGGAAGAACCCTTTTCAGCCTCCCTGAAAGAACTTTTGCAATGATTTTGTAGAGGCTCCACACTAGCTTCCTTTTTCTTGGGAACTAAAGTGATGAAGGTAGAATTCATTCCTGGAGAAATATTCCCATTTTGGTCAAAATCATCAAACACTTAATTCAGGTCTTTCTTCAAAATCTCCCAGCAATCTTGGTTAAAGGTCATAGTGAACCCATCTGGCCCTGGGTCATTGTTTTAATCTATTTTTTTATATATTACTGATTATAAAGGAAGATTATCTTACATCTTATTGGAATGCGATTTTTGATTGGTACTAGAATACTATTTTCTTACCAAACAAGGGGTAACCAGGGAACATCCTTTGGGCTGCATTGTTATTTGTTTTTTCTTTCAGTTCCCCCCCCCTCTTTGGTTGGTTGTAACCTTTGTGAAGAGTGATGTCACACCTCATGACTCTTTCTGGGATGCTAGTGACAGATCTATCTTTTGATTGATGAAATAATCTTTCAATTATCAGAAAACAAACAACTTTTGATTGGTTTATCTAATTGTTGATGCAAATCATATGTTTTTCATGTTCACCCTTATTTGAGGCTTTAAATTATAACTTCTGTGTCAATTTTATTGTTTTAGGTAACAAATTCAAGAGGAACTGAACAAAATAGGTGAGTTGCCACTTGAATTAAATCTTTCATCTAAACTTTTGTCAGATATCTTTTACAGTTTTGTAGGATTTACGGGTGTTCTTTTGCTTTTATGAACATCTATAATTTTTCTCCTTTTTGGCTTTAGGTGACCTTAATTACTTTCATTGCTTTATAGAACAAAAATAAAGAGTAGTTTAGACTAGTTTAAGGTATTTGTGGCATCACAAGTTGAAAAGATGAAGGTGGGGTGGTGGACCATACTAATTGGATGACTTGAATTTTTCTTGTTGCTTTTGTAACAAATACATTTTACTTTCCTTAATTGGATGAGAGCACTAGGTGGAAGATAATTGTAGACTCTATTAGTAGCAAATACATATGAATCCTCAATCCTTACATACTCCTTTTGTTGATTGCATCGTCATTGGTTTGTATATTTTCTCTATATGCCATGTTGTTGAATGTTTTGGGTGGTGTTGTTGTAGTCACACTGTCAGAGAAACTATTCCAATGGTCATTGGCTCCTTACCTGCAAATGAGCTGGAGAACATGGATGGGGTGGCATGTGTGTAGTCCCCTTCATTTTCTTGAATGGGCCTCTGATAGGATTAGTTTGGAGTTTTGGAGATGAACCCATATCCCTCTTCCTTTTATTTCTTTAACTGAAGCTTTTAGTGTACTTGTGATGAGGGTGGTAGGGAAAGGAATGCATAAATACTGTAATGCAGCTACTAGGTTGATTTCATTTCTTCACTTTGTGGGTAATCTACTTGTATTAATCTAGTCACATGCAGTTAAGGTATACCTTAACTGTGTTTTTTTTTTAGGTTGAAATTAAACCTAAGAAAGTGTGAAACTTTTGGTATGGGTGGTTTTCTTGAAATTAGGAGATGATGCTGGGTTTGCTTTTGGAGTTAATATGGTTCCCATTGTCTGAGTATGTTTTTCTCTTGTGCTGTGTAACTTAGTACCATCTGGGTTAGGAGGCTGGTGCTGGGTTTGCTCTTGGAGTTAAATATGGTTGACCTTTGAATCTTGAAGGCCTTGATTTTTAAAAGGAGAATTATGCTATTTTTAATCCTTTGCAAGATATCAGTGCATGTGTAAAAAAATAAAAATGCATGGAATTTGAATATGAATTACAGTAATTGGAAGTGATGGTATTCCAAGTGGTTATCGTGCATTGGTCATCAGTTTCTACAAAGCCTTTTTCAATTCAAGTACTTGCAATATTCTTATGTTTAGGAATTTCTCCTTTTGTCCTTTATATGGTCTGGGCCTCAAATTTTTCATTTTTGTACCTTTGTGTAATACATATAATTTCTTGCCTATAGGCAGTTCCCTTTCTTACAAGCTAGAAAAGTTTGATGTGCACAGCATTTTATTCACAATTTTTAATCATAAGAAGACATCTACTTAGCTTCAATGGCCGCAATTGTTATTATTTTGCTTTATTTTGAAGCACCTTAAGAGATGATAAGAATGAATGGGTTGAATTTCCTGAGATTAGAGGTAACAATAGGAATGGATTAGCCACAGAAAGCTGTCCATGTATGCATGTAGTTCCATGTCTTTTATTCTTTCCTGTTCTTTAGTTGCTTCTTGTTCTTTATCTAATGCTGGTGGGATGATTATGACCACAGATAAAACGGACGTGATTGTAGTTTTCCATTGCCCTTAATATCTTTTTGCATCCAGACATTTGCACTTGTAATGAATAACGGCATAAAAATATTAGTAAATGCTTATATTATGCTTTTAGTTTTCTACGACAGTTGCATACTCCTGAAAAAATGTTTAATTTTGATAGTCCTTGCTGTAGTCTTTTATTAAATAGGATTCCTACTTGAGCAGGGATAGTGAAGCTGATTCAGTAGCTAAGATGAAGGCTGCTGAGGAAGCTTTGGAAGCAAAGCAAAAGGTAATAATTGGTCTTGGTTCCACTGGTTTTAAAAGTTAGTTTTATTCTGTATTGGCATCTTATTTGCACCATAGGCATGAAAGAGGGGAAAACAGAAGGCAGTGATTAATAGCTTCTCCTGAACTTTAGGTGGCATGTCCTATGCTGCCCTTAATAGTTTCTCCTGTGAAATGCAGCAAAAACCTTCATTTGAGCTGTCTGGGAAGCTTGCTGCAGAAACAAATCGAGTAAGGGGTAAGATTTTAAATAGTTGAATTCTTCAAATAAGATTTCTTATTCCTATGTCCATCTAGATGTGGATAAAATGCTTAAATTTCGTTGCTCTTCTTTTGGTTCTATCCATGTCTTACTTTACAAAATTTCTTTCATGCTTAGTTGTGACCTATTGTTATCTTTAATGATTTGTTTTTCTACTTATAGGAAAAACTAGTAATTAAGCATGTGCATTGCATGTGAGAATTTTTTTCATATTAATTACTTGAATTTTATATATATCATAATTAAGATAAAAATTGAAAATTAACAAAAGTAACAATGTGATTAAAAATAAACTCAAATGGGTTCCTTAGTGATTTGTAAGGTATGATGCTTGTTCTGGAAACTCTATTTTTTTTTGGGAAGATACTTGGGTGAGCAGTCAACCCCTAAAAGACCGTTTCCCTTCTCTCTATTCCATCACCCTCTTTAAAAAGAAACCCATTTCTTGGTTCCTTCCCCCCCCCGGTTTGCCCTTTGGCTTTAAATTGGGATTTTGGGTTTCGGAGAGGGTTAAGGGATGAAGAGTTTCATTGTGTCTCAGAGCTGTTGTTGCTTCTAGATTCGGTGTGCCTGGACCCCACTAACCCGGACAAAAGAGTCTGGGCTCTAAACCCGGTTGGTTCTTTCACTTGCGCATCTTTCTTTAAAGCCCTTTGCTCTAAACCTTCCTCTCAGATCTTCCCTGTTAAAGAGGTTTGGTCAAGGACAATACCCCCCAAAGTAGCAGTGTTCTGTTAGGAAGCCTATTATGGTAAGATCAATACTGTGGAAAACTTGCTAAAGAAGAAATCTTTTTTTGTGTCTGTCCCCAAATTGGTGCTTTATGTGTAAAGTGAAGGGTGAGGACTATAACCATTTGCTGATATCGTGCTCCTTTGCTGTCAATATTTGGAATTGGGTTGTTTCTTTATTTGGGTGCAGGTGGAACTTGCCMTYTRAAGTAAAGCTGCTGTTCACTCYAGATGCTCTTGGGAGATTGACAAAAAGGGGGAAGATAATGTGGAAATGTATCAGAGCCTCCACCTTGTGGATCTTATGGGAGGAGAGGAATGCTAGAATATTTCAAGAAAAGGAAAGAAGTCTTGCTGAAGTCAAGGAATGTATATTGACAAAGACAATTTCATGGCTGATATCTTCACAATTGTTGGCAGATTTCTCCTTTGGTGACTTGAGGAAAAATTGGGAAGCAGTGGCTTCAACAATCTCCACCAAGAACAAATTACAAGTTGAATGGAAACCCCCACCGAATGGAGTGGTAAAATTGAACTTTGATGGTAGCTGATGGTAACCCAGGGCCATCCGGAATTGGAGGGATTCTGAGAGACAAAGACAGCAATATGTTGTCTCTTTTCTCAGGACCAATGGGTGAAGGTGATTCTGTAAGGGCAGAGCTACTAGCAGCTGTACAAGGTATACAGATGGCTAGTCTATTAGGAGTGAACAATTTGTTAGTAGAAGGAGACTCCAAGGTAGTAGTGGGCTGGCTGAATAGCCCAAACACAGTTTGTTGGGGCTACAGGGATCTGTTAAAGAAAGTTAAATGGATGACAAGAAATATGACTGTTAGGTTCCAGTGGGTTGGCAGATCAGCAAATGTAATGGCTGATTCTTTGGCCAAGCAAGGGGTGTCAAGGGTGATTTGTTTTGGGCTAATTTGTAATTTGTATCTCAGGTTTGGGCATGTTTTAGTGTTTATGATTCAGTCCTTGGGGGAGGTAACATCTCGTGCCTGTTCCTAGGCTGCATGTATTTCTGATATTTTTTCAATAAAATTACTCTCATTTATCAAAAAAAAAAAAATTCAAATGCTTGTAGTAAATGTGCAAGTGCATTGCATATGTAAATTTTAAATTACAATAACAATTATTATTATTATTAAATTTTGTATTCCTTTTTTTCCATAAATAAAAATAAAATTTATTTTAGCAATTATTTTTATTTATTATGATGAATATATAACATTATAAATGTTCCCAAATGCCACACAATTTTGTACTTTTTCATTGTTTGTGTTTTATCTTTTTTTAAATATTTATTATTCAATTATGACATCATGAGTTCCTTTGAAAAGTTGGATCATTGACCCACCATCTAGATAAGAAAATAGCTTTACTTTCGGATTTGTTTTAAATTATATATCATGTATATTATACACATAATTTTTACTTATCATACTTAATTTTTGTTTGACAATTAATATATAATTTTTTATATATTCTTTTGATTTACTTGTACTATTTTATTTTTTAAAGATTTATTATTTAACTATCATATCATCGGTTAATCCATTTGACCCAAACCCCTAACCCACAACCCAAAAAGGAAAATAATTTGATTTCTAGGTTGACACCAAATATTATATTACATTTCCAACATTGATAATGAGTGTATAATATTAGAGATGTACCCTATATTTATTTTTATGAATATATAATATTAGATATGTGCCCAATTTTTTTCTATTTTTATTTTTTTAATATTTATATTTTTTATTTTTAAAAATTTTATTATTTGACTATGACATTAGTCATTACCCATTTGACCCGAAATGGTTGAATTGCTTACCCACTATTTGGAGGGAAGAAAATAGTTTTGTTTTCAAATTATTTTTCAAAATATTTATTTTTATATTAGTAAAATTAATTTTGTGGAGTTAGTAAGAGAATATACCTTAATATGAGATTTAATGAGAGAATAGGAAAATAGTTTTATTTCTAATGATTTTAAATTTTACATTCCATTTCCATCATTAATAAAAACATTTCTTATTTATCATACTTATTGTTGTTTAATATGTCAAATATATGATGTTAAAAATGTTTCCAATTTTTTTAATCTCTATATTTTTTGCATTTTATCTATTTTTGAATTTTATTATTTAATTGTGACAACATGGATTGGCTTGGACCATTTGACCTGAAATGGTTTAATTTCTTACCACTGCCTAGATGTAAACACTGTTTTTTTTTTCCAGGTAGATTTTAGAAGTATGTTTTTATGTTATTAGAATTATTAATTTATTATGTATGGATTTAATTAACAGAATTTAATGATGGGAAGAAATAAAAGTGCCTTAAATATATGATTCAATGAAGGTGAATGCAAATTAATACCTTAAGTGTTGGATTTAATGAGAGGAAATTGAATGCATTGAATATCTTATAATTGTCTTTTTTCAACTTATTTAATATTAATAATTGATTACCCCTTTTCCCACATTTTTTATCAATAAATTTAAATATGGAAGGGTAAATTTTGTCCTAAAAAAATTCCAGAAATATTACTTAGGCTATTTGTGCTTTTTAAAGTAGTATAGACATCTCCTTTTTCTTTATTTTTTTTCTTAGAAAGTATTTACTACACTTCTTTTACCTTTTTTAAACATGGCTGTTATTTGTTTGATAAGTGGCAATTGCATCAAAATTTATGCAAGGGCCCAATCTAGTATCTGAAAATTAATAGAAAGAGGTAATGGAAAATGAAGATCCATAATTGCTGTTCAGTGGCATTAAACAGAACAAAATGCTGAAACAAGATTCGTGTACCTGACCCAATCAGGGCAAGACTTGGATGATATGATGATGATAATTGTTGTTGAGGATGCCTATATCTATTTATCAATGTTATGAAAACTGGACAGGAGTGTCGGGTTGAACCAGTTGGATTGTCATTTGGAGCCTTTTTTTTGGTTCAGCAAAGTGAACCACCTGTTTTTTACTTAAAAATCATCGACTTTGTCTGAGAACCTGCAAGGTTCAAGTATCAGGTGTATTATATCATACTGGGCCTTCAAGTATCACTTATACACCTTTTTAAGGCTATTCAAAATAAGCATGTTTTTAAATGTTAAATAACATTAATTTTGTCTCCCTGTGAAGATATGAAAGTAAAAGTTTTTTTTTTTTGATAGAAGTTAATTGATTTCATTAAAAGAAGAGGAGGGTACACAGGAAGGTGTACAAATACATAACAGGGGTCAGACCCCTGAGAATTACACAGGAGGAGTTTTGTCACAATACAGGGACTCCAAAGTGGCACCTAATTTTGCTAATCCATCTTTAATGGCATTTAACTTCCTTGGAAATCAGGTACAAAGAAGCATTCATAGGAGCCAATAGATGTCTTGCCTCTGTTAAGAAGTGGCTAAGTCTCTACGGTCCAACTTCCTGTTGCCCTAACCATTTTATAGTGTTTGCTGAGTCACCTTTGATGGAGAAGTTCTGAATACCCAGTTTGCTGACTAGTAGAATCCTTGTAAGAGCTGCTAACACTTTTGCCTTTGTAGAGTCAGCTATTCCAATTGGTCCGCTGTATGCCCAATAGATGAGCCCATTTTCATCTCTTAGGGTTCCCCTTATGCCGACAACTCCAGGGTTACGCAAGGCACTTCCATCAAAGCTTAGAGTCCAAGTTCCTTCCCTTCTTATTGAGGGGACTCTGGGGGTGTGTGGAGTAGAGGGGGAGGAGTGCAAAAAGTACTAAACATTCCTGTTGAGGTCATTAACATTGAATCCTGTGAACTCTTCTGAGCTGGAAGCCCATAGATTGCAATGATAAGCAATGTGATTGAGCAGCTCACCCTTAGATTTTGCCTTATTTTCAAATAGTCGATTGTTCCTTTCCTCCCAGATTCCCCAGAGCACAGCGTGAAGCACTATCAGCCAGTAAGCCTTACCTCTCTTGCTCAGACCTCTTCCATGCCACTGAGAAATCAAGTCCTGAAGGTGATTAGGAGCCACCCAACTATACCCAACTAGCTGTAGGAAGTAGTTACAGATGTTGCTGGTTACCTGGCAGTGTATGAAGAGGTGGTCAACTCTCTCCTTCACGGAGACAGAGGATACAATCATGAGGGGAGATATAAAGTCTTCCAAGGTTCTTCTTCTGAAGTAATTCACAAGTGTTAACTCGATTCAGATAAGCCTCCCAAACAAAGAAACTCAATCTTGAGGGGACAAACTTGCACTAGATCTTCT